CAATGAGCTTAACTTTCAATTTACAAAACTCTCAGTTCTCACCTACCGAAGAAATCGTATCAGGTACACAGCCAAAATCGGCCGATGGCTATTCTTCCTGTTGTCGATCTTTGCTCTCAGCCGCGAGAAATGCCATTACAAAAGCCATTGAGTACGTAAATTTCCGTATTTTGGTTTCCTTTCTCTTTGGAGGAAATTTTGAACGTCTCTGTCAGCGAGCAATACGAATTTTTTAGTGCTTTATCAGCCATAAACAGAGAAACTTCGACAAACTACTTTGGAGGCTTTGTTATGCAATAAGCAACTGGGCAGAGAGGCGCGAAAGGCGAGTGACGTATCAACACCTGACTGGCGGTATCTGACACGAGGAAAAAACTATCATCGCGACTTTCCTCTGGGCTAGAAATCTTTGTATAGCACGGCAGCTTTTAGGATAAAAAATTGCTATATCTTTTAATAGAATATTTTATTACATTTTGTGCGATATTATTACATTTTTGTAAAAATCAGATCGCTTATTGATGCAATGTTTTTCAATGCCAGATATATTAAAAAGTTCATTTGGAACATTTTGAGTCTATTTGTTAAAAGAGTGGCGATTCCGTTTAAAAGATATCATCATTATCCTATTATTTTGTTATTACAGTCGAACTTAATGAAGCGGCGTCGTATTAACGGTCACGTTTTCAAAGTCCCAAAATTTGTTGGAGTGAAACCACCCAGCCTTTGTCACTTAGAGCGGAACTACTCGGCCCTTGGATACTTGGAGCGAAACCAATCAAATAAAACTAGTCAAGTCACATTCATTCTAATTCATCGACTCTTTGGGTTCAAATTAGCTCTTCGCATTGCAGATGACTGGTTGCACGTTGTACATGATAGAAGCCATCCGCGCTTTGCTGAAAGAAACATTTATCATAAAACAAATATTTTCATGAAAAATGGAGGAGGAAGAGCACTGATTATGTAACTGTGCGAATATTTCCCATAAAGCTTTTGGGTCTCATCGTTCAGAGATCATTCCTTTTCGGAATTGAAAGCAGTTTTCGGTTGCAAACGATCCTAAGCGTGAAACAAAATTAATGATTGACTTTAACAGGCTACAATTTATCTGGGAAGCTGGATATCTAAATGATTGCGCAATATTTGTTTCTCTGGTTGTAAGGCCCAGGTCAGCCATGAAACATTACGTCAAAATTTAATACAGATCTTAATCGTTTTAGTTTGGAGCGTCAAG